GCTAACCAACAAAACAAGCGACACTTGTCGAGAATGATCTACAATGTGGACCAGACTTTATGTTGACAGTCAAAATGTTTGCTATACTACACAATTTCAAAAAGAACATTCTAAATCGCATTCAAATTCCTTTACTCTTTAAAACTACCCCATTTTGGCATTGTGCACTACTTCTGTAGCTTTAATTTTGTCCATCATTGTGATTACCCGAAGCAACAGTAAGCCAAACCACATTAGATCTACAGTCAGATATCAGTCACCTGAAACTGGATGGAGCTCTATGAAGCCTGGCCTCTAACAGAGCACATTCATTCTGAGCAGCGACTCCCAGAAGCCCCCACTGGTCAAGAGAAGATTGTTTCTCATTTGGCTGAGTGGCACCACAGCGGCTTGTTAAAGCTTGAGTTTAAATACATCATTTCTGGGAATGAAAGGGGCGAAGAAGAAAAATGGCCCAGCACACCATTTCTTTCTCCTCCGTACCCCCAGCCTCCTTTCTTTTTTTCACACTCCATGCTGCTGCTTTTCTGGACAAAAGACAGAGTGTGAAACATATGCAGTCATTTCACAGCTGTCTCGTGTCTTTTCGCCGCTCCCATCTATTTCAATCCATCTTTCACATCTCTCTCCAGAATAACTTGCGATTAACAGGATTTCACCTGTTCTTTAAATGCATGTGCTAATGAAATGCATGTACAACCTTAATATTGCAACTATAATTTTTTTATGTTTAACCCAGTGGGAAAATGAAAAACATCTGCGCTATTTAGTCTGTGGTATTTACACACAGAAACCTGCTATTTATACATTAACCAGCAAACCAGGCACTAAATGCGCAGGTTTAACATGGTGAAAGTTTTGCTGGTTAGTATAAGCCTTTAGCCCCTGCTGGTAAATGTTGTAATTACACCATTTGTTAAAAATAATAAAATAAAATTAATTAAATACATACATGCATAAAATTACCATTTATTCCGTTAGCCGCAACTTTTAGCTCAGGCTGCCACTTGTTTTCTTTTAGCAATCAATTAATCTTTCGATTTTTTTTTTCCGATTAGTCGATTAATTAAAAAATTTTTTTGTTGCCAACCCCTCTAATAAATCTATTGATTCTTTTCTGATTAGTCCATTAGTCCTTTGTTTAACTTTTATTTATTTATTTATTTTTTAAATCGATTAATCTTTCGATAATTTTTTTAGATGAATCGATTACTCGAATGATTATTCTCCCCAAACCATCTAATAAATCTATTGATTCTTTTCTGATTAGTTCTTTGTTCAACTTACCAAACAATAAAAAACAGAACTTCTGCCATTCATCTATCCAATGTTTCACTCAAACGGTGTGAACTTGCCGAGAATGCAGTTGTGAGAAAATTTCCATCATGCCCAAGAGCCGGCATCATTGGGATGAACATAAAAAGTTGGATGTATTCATGCAATCAATGCAAAATGATACATTTGCATAATTGACACCGTCGATTAGGTTGACCCACCATTACGGCAATACTTTTATCCAAAGAGAAAGAACATCATGAATAATTTGTCATACAGAAATGATCATAAACAACACTAAAACAATTCAGACAGAACATGCAAATAAACACTGCTATTTAATAACAGCGGCCCTATTTATTGTTAGTGAATTTGGCACTCAAAAATACTGATATTTTCAGCATATATATTCCCACTTCAAAATAGACGTTTTATAATCTCTTCTTCACACCTTCGAGCGAATGAAAAGTTTCAAAGTTCATCACTCAGCGGGTGTGAATGTAAGCATATCTTTCTTATAATTATCCCACACTTCCGTTGCTCTTAGAGTCGTCTGTTAAATGCCAGTGCTTTTTAAAGCTCCGCTGCACCATATGTCTCTTTAACTCAGCTCCATCAATTACAACTGAGCAGAAACATTGATCCATTGAATTTCTCAGTCCACTCATTTATCTGAGCCGCTCAACAAAAATGACATTTCTACTTTATAATCATGTATATGTCAATGTGAGGCCACACATTTAGCTTTTGAGCAGGTTATTTCTAATGTTAGGTTTCAATAGTAAATCAAGAATGAACTATTACTTATGGTACATATTTAACGTTTGTTTTTCTGATCTTGAAATATGCCTTTGATATATTAAAATTGTAATGCCATTCCAAACCTGCATGCAGTGGGTTACACTTTAGATGTTCTACTAACTATAAGTAACTTTGCAACTAAATGTCAATTAACGCTCATTAGTCTACCAATACCCTAATGACTGCTTGTTGACATGTAGTTGCAAAGTTACTTATAGTTAGTAGAACTCTTAAAAGTGGACTATCAAAATAAAATGTAACCAAAAAGTGGTTTTGTCCATACAATGTTGTTTTGGACCCCATTGACTTATATTGTATAAAACCATTAGAACATTCTTCAAAATATCTTCTTTTGTGTTCCACAGAAGAAAGTCATACAAGTTTGGAACAACTTGAGGGTTAATAAATGATGACAGAATTTTTGGGTAAACTGTCGTCTTAAATTAATGAAAATTTCCAGTAAGCATTTGAGAAAGATTGCATTATTTGTGTCAAAACAGTTGAGAATGAATCCAAAATGAGTCTTAATTTAGTGGATTCACTGTGTTCTTTTAATGCGTGATTTCCGAACAGATGGCTGACAGTTGAAAAAAAAAAAAAGAAGTCCTAATTATCAGACTATGGATCCAAAATTAACATACTTTTCCAGGCAAACGCATTTGAATTTGTGCCTGTCTGACTACCTATTGATCTGTCTACCCATTCCTCCATGACGAAAGGCCTCTAACATTTCTGTCAAAATTTATTTTTGTGTTAGAATTGTAAATCTTAAAGAAAAAAAAATTGAAGAATAGAAAAGCGTGTCTGTTTAGACAGTTCTGGCAACAGAAATCGGAGGTAGTAAAATCTGAGCCATGTTTGCATACCCGCACCTCAATTCAGCTGGAATTGATGTTATTAATATTAAAAAAGCAAATATTAAACATGCCCAATTCTTAAACCCAGGGACACCGTCGGCTAGCCGCGAGCGCTTGATTGTTTCCATGCCACATTTTGCCGTCTGATCCCAGGCAGCTTTGAGGCATCCATCGCTCAGCGAAGACTGTTCCAGCTGCCATCCCCTCATTCCTCAGCAGAATGAATGGCTTCCCTACACGACGCTCCCCGTGCCGAGCTGGCTCTTTCATCTCTCTGAAGCCCTCTTGCCGTGATACACTACGTGAGTGCACATGTGAGGCGCAGCTGAAACGCGGCCCTGCCGAAGACTGATGAGGTTTCCACCTTGTCGTGATGGAGCTCAATATGGTCTTTGCTGGAAGCTGATATGAGCTCGTGTTCGGGCTGATATGGTTTGTTTCAGAGGAGTAGTGGTCTCAGAGAACTCAAATAGGATTTGTATGGCACTGAGTAATAGTTGTTTTGAAAATTTAGTTGGATTATTTGTAAGGAGGGATGAGATGCACTCTGCAGTGAAGTATGGCATCATGACTTCAGCTACATAAGATTGGTGTTTGCACGTAGATTGATTGACAACTTTAAGTTTAGTTGCTTTACTAGAAATACATTCTTTTCAGTGAACGCATGCCTTTTTATGCAAATAAGTCTTATTATAAAATGCAACACATTCACAAAACCTGTTGTTACTGTATTAGCCTGGTGCAGTTAACGTTGGCATGAAATGAAAATTTATTTTGTAAATGACTTTTGTAGATGTCATTGCAAACAATTCATACATATACGATTTTTCTTAATCGACACTGTATCAAAATATCGTAACGTGATCTTCCAACAGATTTCTCTCTAGTAACGCAAGCAGAAATTATCCAATCATTTAATCCACTTAAACCCTGCCCCCACTACAACGACTGCAAGTTTTTAATGCCACGCCCACATCTCAAAATCCAATCAACAACCAGCAGATAGAACCAAGTCCCCGCCCTGCACTGTTTTTTTTTTCTTTTCGATAATTTGTATATCACAATACGGAAGAAAGAGATCTGTTTCTAGTAATGTTGTCAAAAGTACCGACTCCGGTACCAGTCTTTACTGAAACTTAAAAAATGTCAATTTTCCGCTAACATTTGAGCGCTGTTGAGCGGATTCGTAAACACCACTGATTGGCCATTGTGTTTCATTTAATCTGTATAAGGCATTACATCGAAGTTAGAAGTTCCAGTATCAGTGGCAAAACAACTTTATACTGCATTCGTCCAGAGCAGGTAGTCTAATTTTAAAATTCCCGAACAGATTTGAAATATTTCTGACACAGTTGATATTCTTAGTGCCAGGCAGTAACTAGATTATAGAGTGAGATGTGCTCATCTACTTAAGGAGCTTAATGGAAATAAGCATGACACAACATCTACTTTCAGCCTTGATATGTAAGAGGAATAAATTCAATAATCCCAAGAGGGGTTTCTTCTTCTTAAGAAATCTTCTCTGACTGACTGGCTGGTGCTCTCATTCAGTAGTATGGCAACCTATATGAGCTGAGACTATGGGATATAAATCACCTATTTTCAACTGTCCAAAACTCCGACTGACGTCTTGGTGAGCAAATCAGTTTCCAAAGAACATGTCTGGTCTCATTCTGTAGAGCCGAGGGACACAATTGGACTCATGTGGAGAGCTGACAATGGAACCAAATCACAGCAGCCCACTTTGACCCCTGTATTCTTGTACAAAATGAGATGTGGTTGAAATGCTATTCTAAACGCTGCAGAAAAGACTAACATAGCTGGTTACCAGAATATGCCGTTTTGTGCAATAGACAGTTGGGTTTATCCTCACTGGGATGCTGAGCCACAGACAACTGGCTTATTGAGAAAAACAAGACTATGCTGTTTGACCAACTTTGGCAAAAATACCTAGCTGGTTGGGTTTATGAAAATACTCTCATTAATAGTTTGAGGCCACATAGCATATGCGCTTTACATAAACGGTAAAGATGACAAGAAGCTAGAAAAGCGGTGTTCCACACTTACGTGCTGCCACTGGTCTCGGATGAGAGGCCGGTAGCGCAGGAAGTACTTCAGCGGGAAGGTCTCCACATCGGGCCACGTACTGGGACTGTTCCAGGTCACCTCTAGTCTTCGTGCATTGTTGGCTACGGGTTTGGCCACCACCTTCTCAGGTGGGTCAGGTTTCACTGTTGGACCAAACAGACCTCGATGTAAACTCAAGACCAATCTCAGGTATCATATTCAAAGGAATAAATCCCCCCAAATTAATTCTGTCATCAGAATTTCATTGCTTTCTTCTGTGGAAAACAGATGGAGAAAAGTCCTCAAATTATATCCACACATGGCCATATTCAAACGGGTCACGTCAAAACGCATCTCGCCAGGTTTGACGTAATTAACACTAAATGGCATTTCTTCTCATGTATCTCATAACAGAATGCATCTGGTATGTTTGAATAGGATTAAAATAATAATAAAAAAACAGTCTGGTTCTTGCACATAGTATGGCTTAAAGGCAAGACACTACAGATAAATAGGGTTATATATATATATATATATATAAAAAATAATAATAATAATGACAGGGCAACTCACCATACTTTCCCTAGTTCTTTAATCACAGTACATTAAGACAATTGTTTTGTATTTAACGTTTTCTAAACTTTTATGTTTAAATATGCAAATGTTACATTATATAATTACATATTCATTAGTTTGCATAAAATTCTAGAACAGAAATATGAAAATTTGATTAAGCCAGGATCAAAATGTATGTGCAATTGTGCTGACATATTACAGATAAAGTATTGTTTTAAATACTGAACAATACTGAAAAGTATATATATATATATATATATATATATAGTAATTTATAAATGACACTAAATAAAATTGCATGTAAAATACAAGATTGATGTTCAACCAACAAAACTTTATTTTAGTGATGTCAAATGACATCCCCTTCAACCAGTAAAATTTAAATGTATTGGCCATGTGCTTCACATTATTGGTAACAAAGGCATTAGCACATGTTAGGTCTCATGCTCTCAAGGCTCATATTGATCTCATTTTAGACTAGAAAAAATACATATAAAGTTATAAAAAATATATAATCATACATCCAAATGTGTTTTCTAAATTTTTTTTGTCATTTTTAATGCACTTTTATAAAAACAATAACTCAGAGCCCAAAAAATCTGAGCGTCATGCAGCGTGACAAAGTCCTATTATGGGATGCATATTTGCTGTAGCTGGCACTATTGACCAGCATTGGCAGGCAATATAATAGCCTTTATGCATGTGTTTTAGGTTCATTTTTGGAAGATGGAGAGACAAATCTGTACTTATTTCAGAAGGTATTGATGATAGTAATAGGAGTGCATCAGAAAATCAGGTTGTAGTAATAAAAGGAGTTGTTGAGGACCAAGGAGGATAGAAGCAATGAGGGTGAGGGCAGGCATCAGGCATTTGGGTACATTATTGTATGCCAGTTTAAAAGATGTGATCTATAAAGCAACCAGAGGCCAGGAAAGATGCCAATGTCTATTGGCATTACTACACTGACAGGCAGCGACGCTCCAATGATGACTGCATAAGTCAACATCTTATGTGTGGGGTATATTGAAAAAGAAGAGTCTTGTTGACTTTCACGTGTGCTAAGATAAATTGATTTGAAATTCCAAGATGAAACACAGTGTTAAAGTTGTTTTAATGCTTTTGAAACACTAAGACATTGTTTTCAGGCAGTGAAATTGCATCCGAATTTGTATCAAGCTTTAGACATTTTCACGCGTGAGTTCCAAATCAAAAATAGCAGCACAAGAAAAAAAAAAGTAATGTTCATAAAGATTTTTTATATTTTTTGAAACCGTAAGACCTTTTCACTTCTTTTCAGGTAGGAAAACAGCATTTTATTGTGTGTGAAGTTTCAGACAATTTGCCAAAAATAGTTTACCCTAATGGGACAACGTCAGATGTAAATGACGGAACCCTAAAAAGAAGGTCAAAGGTCAGATGTAGAAAACACACACACATATATATATATATATATATATATATATATATATATATATATATATATATA